GCCATTTTTTATTATTACATTATAACTTGATTAATTAATTTTAAACATTCAATACTTGTTGCATTTTTGCATATGTATGAATGTAGACTTCTATTAAGGATATTGTATGTAATGTGGCTGCATTCATTTGAGTTTGAGACCCCTATTCTGTTGCTTTCTAACGAGAAAAGAAAGAGGAAACAATTTATCGGGTTTGCAGAAATGCTGTTACATGGATTGGGATTGCGTTTATACAGGTACAGTAGTTCTTAATTTACAACCATTTATTTAGTGCCTGTTCAAAGTTACAATGGCACTGAAAAAAGTGATTTACAATCATTTTTCATACAATCATTGCAGCATCCCCATGGACGCATGATCAAAATTTGGATGCTTGGCAACTAGTTCATATTTATGATAGTTGCAGTGTCCCAGGGTCAACTTTTGCAACCTTCTGACAAGCAAAGTCAGATTCATTAATAACCGTGCTATAGAAGTGATTCGCCTAACAACTGTGTTAAGAAAAGTCATAAAATGGGGCAAAACTCATTTAACTGTCTTGCTTAGCAACATAAATTTGGGGCTCAATTGTGGTAGTAAGTCAAGAACTACCTAGTATTTTTAAGCATTTTTAAATAGTTTTTCTACATTTTAAACCGTCAAGCCATATTTTTTGTAACCAAGACACAAATCAGAACAGTTGTATAAGCTTTTGGGAGCATTATTTATTTTTATCTCAACTTTCTTGCCAACTTTGATTAAAACAAGATGTTATATAAAGTTGAAGCATGTAAGAAAGTTAAAAAATGTTTTGATAATAAAGAGATGAAGTCACCTGTGTTTTGTTTAAATGATCTGTAGAGGCAGTATATAAATGTTTTAATACCAAAGCCAAATAAGTATTAAGTGGAAAAGATACAGTTCATAAATATATTTGCTTATAGTCATGAGCTACAGTTAACTAATTTTTCCCCATATTAATAGAGCAACAGTCTGAGCCACATTGCTGTATCTTGATGAAGTGTACTTTCCCCCCACCACTTCTGGACTCTATCTCAGCCTGAAAATTTGAAGACTGTTCCCCTCCCCATCAATGTTTTTGGTCCAAATAAAATGTTACTGGTCTTTTAAGGATTATCAATGGCCAAGTATTTTCTTGTGTCTATCAATCTTGTGTCACTTGCTGAAACAGTTCAGAAAGGCTATTAAAAACGGATGCCAGGTCTTTCTCTGGAACAAAGGGTGTGAGCTTAAATAATTAAACTAATACATGTGTAGGAATATGTGTGCAACTGAGATCTACACTCTGTGCCTGGAATGGTGTGAAGAATAGCTGATGTGAGGAAAACTGCCTCATAATAATCAGGGACATTGATTCTGAGATGGGAAGCTAGTATTGGTAGCGAGATATGGCTTATATTCAGCGAAAAATGCAGACATTCTGCTGATTATGAACAAGGGAAATGGTGTATAAGAGAGAAAAGGGGGAAAAGTCATTATTTTGCCCCCACTCCCAAACCCTATTTATATCAGACTTCTGTCCATTAGAATGTTTTACTTACGTGTGGGTGTGCAGTGGTGGGAGGAACAAAAAAAGAGCATCGGGAATATTTGTAGCTCAGGGTTGAAATGAGGGGACCTTGGTCCTACTCTGAGCTTGTTTTCTTGCAGACATTTCATTACCCTCACTAGGTAACATCATCAGTGCTAGAGTGAGGCATTTGGATAATGAAACCTCTTCAAGAAAACAAGCAAGCTCAGAGAAGGACCAAGGACCTCTCAAAAAAGAGCATGTCTAAAAATTATGGGGAAATGAAAGGTTTTTTTTTAATGACTCTTGAAACTCTGCATGGGATGCAACCATAGTATGGATGCTGGAAAAGCTTAGGTTACAAGTTCGTATTGTTATTTGGTTCTTATATTCAAAGCTGGCTACACATGATCATTTTTTTTTCTTATTATGCATACATTTTCCTCATTGGCCATGCGACTATTTTCCACATAAGCCTCCAAGGAAGACCTGTTGAGAAATAAATGCTCTACCTAAAGCTCTCCAGTAAATTCATGGGGAATCTGAGCCTTCCCAGCCCTCTCGCCTAACCATATGGCAAAATTGAGGCACGAGTAGTGAAGTCCTGCCATTGGAGCCCATTCTGTCTCAAAGCCTGTCCCGGTACTACCCCGCGCTCCAATGCCTCTGCCGGTCAAAGCACACAAACCCTCGAGCGGAGTCCACTCAACAATGGACTGTCTACAGCAGCTAAACTGAAATCCTAGAGGACTTGTAGTTAGTGCTTAGCAAGCAACAACTCTGAACTAAAGTCCTGCTTTCGAAAAAAACACTGGAAAGAGCAGGAAGGGCCTACAGCATGAAAGCAACGGCCTCATCTTATCTCCCATCCCTTTTTCCTTCTCCCCAAACTGCAGCTTCCCACTTTACGAAGGCCACCTGGGTCAGAGGACGCTGTCCCTTTAAGAGGAAGCTGCGCCAATTCCTTTTCTTATGGTGGGGCAACCCTGTTCGATGCTTTCGAGCACGGGTGAAGATGACACAGGAGCTGTGTTGATGCAGTGGTTATAACACAGTACTGCAGACTACTTCTGCTGACTGCCAGCAGTTTGAATCTCACCAGCTCAAGGTTGACTCAGCCTTCCATCCTTCTGAGGTCAGTAAAATGAGAACCCAGATTGTTCGGGGCAATATGCTGACTCTGTAAACTGCTTAGAGAGGGCTGTAAAGTACTGTGAAGTGGTCTATAAGTCTAAGTGCTATTGTTATTCTTGCGTGCCGCTGTAGGTGTCATCCGAGTGAAGGTCGCTGTCATGCCCCTGGTGAAGACTGACTCTGAGGGAGAGGAGGAACAGCCAACAGGGAGTGGAAGTGTGGCTCCAGAGGTGGTGGGGGAGGCTGGGGAAGGGCAGAAGCTGGCTGAGCAGTCAGAGGAGGACCCAGGCCCATCCCCTATCCATGCTAGGGCACACAGGGAGGAGAGGATCAGGGAAAAATGGGAGGACCATGATCCTCTTCATGGGTTGCAGGTGTGAGATCTGAATAAGAGTTTGGACCTGTGTGCTAGCAAACGCTGAAGAGTGGTTTTTCCTGGATGAGGTTTATCTTGGTTGGTGTTCTTCCAACGGACTGTACCTAGTTATCTTCCTGAAGTTTGTAATTAATTATCCTGGTCTGTCATGGAACTTTCTTCAGTGCAGTTTGTTTTTGGTTTTTGCTTCGTTATCTGCTCTTTGATTTTGAACTGTATTTCTTTCGTTTGGAATGTTATTTTGAAAGTAGTTTAATCTCCAACTGTGAACAGTGAAGCCAAGTTGAAGGCATTAAAGGACCTTTATTTACGTTTTGGTTTTTGTTATATTTGTGGAACACTCCGGGTCATCACAGTCACTTTGAAGTAATGCACGCTTACGAATCTCTCCCCCTCTCCTTGGAGATGCTACCCCTTTCCCAGATACGTGGATGCTCACGCCCCACTCTGGAACAGGTTGTTGAGAGCTCGTATCTTCCAAGAAGCGGAGCTCTTCCCCCCTCCCCCCCAGTGGAGTATTGTATCTTCTGAGCCATTTTGACTGAGGGTTACTGCGTGCATTTGAGGGAGTTCAGGCTGAACATGGAAAAAGAAGTTTGTGGTAACCGTTAGAAGTCGTTCATTTTACCTGTCCATCCTCCACTGTGTTATTTTTCTCGAACAAGCAGTCCTTTCCAGTAGCCCACAGCCCTTTCCTGTTAGGCTGGGAAATCGAGGAGTTACTTTCTATTCAATGACTTCTCTTGGTTACTTGGGAGAGTCAAGATATTATTTTTAAGCTGAGAGCAAGAGCACAAATTCAGTAGTTAACACTTTAAAAAAAAGGCAAGGCTCCAGTTTACATTTAAGATGTTCCAGATCACGTAGCTAATGAGATTAAATTGTATTACTTGCTACTTTATTCTAGTAATTCAAATAAATGAAGGAAAGCAGCAGCAAAAGCAAAATATATCACTGAGATACAATCTTATAACTTCCCCTCTTAGAACTAGATTCTTTGGTGCTCAGTAAGCAGTAAAGCTTACTAAGCATGTCCTAAGGGAAAAGGACTGGAAATTTCATGACAAGTTAAGTGGTATTTGTACTGTACCAGTTTGAAGGACAGCAAAGTCAAATTAAGAAATTACATTGGCATTATTTCTTAGCTGAGCGTATCTCATCTAATAAAACTCCCAAGATAGTGTGAGGTTGCTGGAACTCATGGAAAGTTTTTATCTTTTTCAAAATATCACCTTTGTGTCCTCTTTAGCAGGGGTCGCCAACCTTTTGGACCTCAGGGACCACCAAACTCATAATTTTAGATCCCAGGGACCACTAACTGGTTCTGTGGGTGTGGCCTAATTTGTGGGTGTGGCTTGGTGGTCATGTGACTGGCTGGGCATGGCTTGTATGTAAATATTATAAATATTTATATAAATATTGAATTTTTTATAAAAAAGAGCAACTTTTACCCAAAATCAGGCAAAGCAGGCAGGCAGATTGAGTTGCTCACAGAATCACAGATTCATTCAGTGATCTATCTGCCATCAGCTAGCTCAGTCTCTCAAATTTGCTTGCTGTGAGTCTGCACTGAATTTGCTTGCAAACAAACCTTCAGTCCTAAGGGAAGTTTGGCTGTACTTAAAAGCAGAGCCGAAGATCTAAAGACTAGCTAGAAAGCAAGAAATCCAACCATTTCCTGCTTCCTAGCTAATCTAAATCTCCCAGCAGAGCAGAACAGATGATGGTTGGAAAAAGGAAAAATAGAAATTTAGCAGGCAAGTTTACTGGGTAAGGAGTGAGTGGGCGGGAAGGGTTTCCGTAGGCCATGTGGGCAGCGCAGCTTTGTGTTTCTGCGCAGCCTGGATTGCTTTGGGGGGGGGGGGGGTGCTCGGGGGGTGAGATTTCTCTGCGGCCCACCAAAATTTTCTCGTGGCCCACCAGTGGGCCGCAGCCCACCGCTTGTCGACAGCTGCCCTTTAGCACAGCCAGCTTCACTGCTATTTCCTTGTCCTGGTGGCAGGACACAAAAATTCTGTGTTAAGAAGTAAGACACCGCTATGGCAAAATAAATGAATTTAAATAAACTCTTTTTTTGCCTTTATTTTCAGGGGAATCCAGAGAAATTAAAAACCATGTGAAGAAATTAAAAACCAGAGCACTGAATCAGAGATAAAAGATGGTGGGGAATGGGTGAGGCATGAGCCTCACCCAGGACAATTTAGGCTAAAACAGCAAGGGAAGGGAGGTAGAGGCAAGGTGGCATAGCTTCCCCTTTTAAGATGCCTGGACTCTCCAATCTTCAAGAGGGTGGGGTGGGTTGCCTCTCCCCATACACCCCCTCATATCTTAGCGGTGCTTCCCCTGGATATTTGTGGAGTTAACCCTTCCCATCCAAGGTTTCTGAGTAGACCATCACTCTGCTAGGAGCTAGAAGAAAAAATAAAAATGGAAAGTATGGTGAAAAGTGTATCTTTAAAGAGAGATGCTACATGGATAGCACACAAACTTCCAGCTCTATGCTTCCTGCAAGATATATTCCTCTTCCAAAATAAATGGATGCTTAAAAGATGCCCTCTACATATCTGCTGCAAACCATACAATTATCCCATAAAAATAGAATCTTAGGTGCAAAATTAGAACAGCATTACTCTGCTGTTTCTCCCACCTGATTGGGCAGAAACTTTTTGGACTCCCAGGAACGCCGGCCAGCACAGCCACGGTCATCCCAGCATATAAAAAAGCATTCAATAGGGGAAGGCTGTTTTTGATTTTAAAAAATATTCCCACAAACCATGGAGCAGCTCATGCTTTTCCTGATTCCTCTACCATCCTACAATTAATTCTCACTTGCAAATCTTTACTTCATGCAATTGTACCCTATTGGAAACCTCAAATCACTAGACCGACTAGTCCCTAAATACAATCCTTAACTTCAACTAACTTTAGGAATATGAAAACACAGAAGTCCCATATAATCCCCATTCAAGCTAAAAATAGCTGCCTATGCAATTGGAGTAGGCATTACTAGCTTAGCTGCACCACCATCTCAGAATGTAAATTCATCTAAGAATTCTAAAAAAGTTCTGCCATTGCTTACCTTGACTATGTAGCTCCCATATATGGCCCCACTCTATCAAAAGAGAAGAAAACAAGATTAGAAGCCAAACATTACTGTAGTTTATTCCTAACTGATACCTACTATAAGTCCGTCTGATTGTCTTTACAGGTGAAACTCAAAAAATTAGAATATTTTACAAAAGTTCATTTATTTCAGTAATGCAACTTAAAAGGTGAAACTAATATATGAGATAGACTCATTACATACAAAACAAGATAGTTCAAGCCCTGATTTGTCGTAATTGTGATGATTATGGCTTACAGCTCATGAAAACCCCAAATCCACAATCTCAGAAAATTAGAATATTACATGCAATCGGTAAAACAAGGATTGTACATAGAGCAATATTGGACCTCTGAAAAGTATAAGCATGCATATGTACTCAGTACTTGGTTTGGGCCCCTTTTGTAGCAATTACTGCCTCAATGCGGCGTGGCATGGAAGCTATCTGCCTGTGGCACTGCTGAGGTGTTATGGAAGACCAGGACGCTTCAATAGCGGCCTTCAGCTCTTCTGCATTGTTCGGTCTCATGTCTCTCATCTTTATCTTGGCAACGCCCCATAGATTCTCTATGGGGTTCAGGTCAGGCAAGTTTGCTGGCCAATCAAGCACAGTAATCCCATGGCCATTGAACCAGGTTTTGGTGCTTTTGGCAGTGTGGGCAGGTGCCAAGTCCTGTTGGAAAATGAAGTCAGCATCCCCATAAAGCTCATCTGTGGAAGGAAGCATGAAGTGCTCCAAAATCTCCTGGTAGACGGTTGCGTTGACCCTGGACTTAATGAAGCACAGTGGACCAACACCAGCCGATGACATGGCTCCCCAAATCAACAGAGACTGGAAACTTCACACTGGACTTCAAGCATCTTGCAGTGTGTGCCTCTCCATTCTTCCTCCAGACTCTGGGTCCTTGGTTTCCAAATGAGGTGCAAAAGTTGCTCTCATCAGAAAAGAGGACTTTGGACCACTGAGCAACAGACCAGTTCTGTTTTTCTTTAGCCCAGGTAAGACGCTTCTGACATTTTTTGTTGTTCAGGAGTGGCTTGACAAGAGGAATACAACATTTGAAGCCCATGTCCAAGATCCGTCTGTGTGTGGTGGCTCTTGATGCACTGACTCCAGCCTCAGTCCACTCCTTGGGAAAGTCCCCAACACTTTTGAATGGCCTTTTCCTGACAATCCTCTCCAGGCTGCGGTCATCCCTGCTGCTTGTGCACCGTTTTCTTCCACACTTTTCCCTTCCACATAACTTTCTATTAATGTGCACTTTGGGAATATCCAACTTCTTGTGCAATTACCTTGAGGCTTTCCCTCCTTATGGAGGGTGTCAATGATGGTTTTCTGCACAGCTGTCAGGTCAGCAGTCTTTTCCATGATTGTGATTCCTGCTGAACCAGACTGAGAGACCATTTAAAGGCTCAGGAACCCTTTGCAGGTGTTATGGCTTAATTAGCTGATTAGAGTGGGACACTTTGAGCCTAGAATATTGAACCTTTTCACAATATTCTAATTTTCTGAGATTGTGGATTTGGGGTTTTCATGAGCTGTAAGCCATAATCATCACAATTATGACAAATCACGGCTTGAACTATCTTGCTTTGCATGTAATGAGTCTATCTCATATATTAGGTTCACCTTTTGAGTTGCATTACTGAAATAAATGAACTTTTGCATGATATTCTAATTTGAGTTTCACCTGTATTGTCTAACAGGAAGTTTCTAAATTTTAATTACATTGAAAAAAGCTGGTCCAGGTTTGCAGCAACCACATGCCCATCTCCCTGCATTATTTAATAAAACTCAGAATCCTGACTCAGTTAAAATTAAATGCTAGAACTTTAAAGTAATACTCAAATAATTGGAAGCAAAATGTGAAGGGTCCTTCATGAAACACAAAAGCTTCCACTGACACCATTGAAATTTAATGAAGACGCTTTTTTCCCTTAGGCTTTTCAATAAAGTATTACAGAGAATGATAAGACTCCTTTTGAAACTGTTAATTCAAACTGATTCAAAGGGTCAATGCACCCTCACCAAATAAACATGGAAGATGAAGTTTAGGGAATACTATAAGTTGATTTTTACTTATTACCCTTCTGATTTTTTTGTGGGCAAACATTATCCAGCCCCCACTTCCACTAATTGCAATAGCTGGTTTCTATGTACCCGAAATGTGACTTACAATGGAAAGTTGCTTGATATACTCTGCTACCAATAGAACAGCCTCAAAACACGCAAACATCCCCTTCCCTGTGCAGTTCTGTACTCTTAAGGCTATCTTACCTTCAAAGTGATAATTTCTTTCAGCCTGCCAGTCATTAGCTTCCATGTTTTCCCAACATGCTTCAGCATCTGCATTTTCTGTCTCCTTGACTGGTGCTGTTCCACATACCCCTCCATGCCCGGCTCCTGGATCATTGATAAAGGAGAGGCCCCATTCATTTTGGAAGATGGCTCCCAGGTGCTGCTGCTGACTACTATCGGTTGGTGGGGGACTGCTCGGGGGTGGCACCAAGACACAGTTGGGGAGGCTATTAGTGGTGCGGACAGCTGAGGCTGGAACATGGCAGGCTTTGCCTGGTTGATCCAAGTTCTCTTTCAGCTTGCTGGCATAAGAGATCTTGGGAATGATCCTGGCACTGCTGCTATCAACTGGGAAAGCAGGAAGGGGCCGAAAGAGTGACCATGTTTCCTTCTTGGATTCCTCAGTGGTTACACTGGAGGCATTAGATATAACAGCGGGATTCTCACTGGCTTTGATAGTGCTGACTCGTTCCAATTTGGGGGAAGACAATGGGCAGGGCGAGTCAGAATAGCCGCGGCATCGATGCTGCCATTGCCCATTGGAAAGACCCTCTGGAGCACAGTGGTGGCCATTAGTGCTAGGTCCCCATTCCTTGCGGTCTGAGGGGTTGCCTCGATACATTTTGTGGTAGGCAGGACGGAAGGGCCAGCCATGATGGAAATTAGGAGAATAACGGTGGGTATGCTGAGAAGGATCTCGCTCAGACAGCTGGAGATTGCGGATGTTAAGGCTGTTGGAAGGACTCAGGGGAACACTGGGCTCATCAACTATTTCAGAACTTGCAGAGTATCCATTTGACGCCCATGATCCTGAAGGAAAGCAAATTTGAGATATATTGTCACTAACTGCAGAATATAAATACATTTCCCCCCTTTAAAATATTTCACTGAAGGTCTTTTGAGAAAAAAGCCTTTTCTACTTTCCCCTTGTAGCCACCTTTCCTATAGACTGCTGCATTACCGTGTTTCTCATATAATAAGGCCAGGTCTTATTTTTTTTTGAGCCCCCCCAAAAATGGCTAGGCCGTCTTTTCGGGGG